ATTGGTTGAGCCTTTTATTTAGTGAAGATAATAACCTTTGAAGATCAAATACATATTCAAATATCTCTTACATCATCAATCAACAGATCAAAACATAAAAAGATCATTTGATCAAACATCATAACAAAACCCTACATTTGCCAACCAGCTTTCAAAGTTCTGGAGTTTTAGGAAGAGGCGCTTGGAGTTCCAATGCTCGAGAACGAGATTTGTTCTTGTTGATCCATGCTGAGATAAAAGTAACATAGAATTACTGGGAAGTGCCGGGTCATACAACCAACGGAGTTCCTTGATAGCAATCTATGGACTAATTGTATATTAACTTTTTCTAATAAATTTTACTTGCTCGGAGGTTTTTTTTTATCTAATTAGGATTTTCCAACGTGATCATATTTGGTATTATTTATTTATTTGCTACTTTGGTCTGATTGTTTGAGATTGTTTAACCATATGAATTAATTGAATTAATTACCTTAATCATCTAAAAATAGTTAATAAGTGACTTGTTGCTTTTAATTTGTTTAATTTCGTATTTTAATTACCTTAATCATTCCAGAATTAATTGAATCAATTACCTTAATCATCTAAAAATAGTTGATAAGTGACTTGTTGCTTTTAATTTGTTTAATTCCGTATTTGGGTCTAAATTATTCGGCTAAATTTAATCTTTCACATTTTTATTAGTTTTTTTAAGTTGCAAACTACCCAAACGTTAGACAAATAAGAAATTGATTTATACCTACAAAATAGCAACTAATATAAAAAATTATCTTAATTGATTGTTTTGCATTTTTACTTCATTGAACAAATACTATTAAGCCATTAAGAATTTTTATTTATTTTTACAATGTTGGAAGAGTCAAGTTGAGTGCTTTCTATATTTTTCAATATTTTATTAGCTTAGTAAAATTAAATTTTATTGCTCTGATGTAAGAGTTTTGTAAAAGAAAATAAATTTTGTAAAATCTCACAATGCACAAAAAATAATCATCATTTAAAGAGAAAATACTTAGGGTCCGTTTGATTGCAAGGGTGGAAAATGGGTGGAAAGAAAATGTTTTACAAGGAATTGATTTTTTTAGAAAATGTTTTA